GGTGGCACGCCTACGCATCTCAAGAGAAGAAGGACCAAAAACTCCTTCCGTCGGCCTACCCGGCCGAAAAGAGGGAAACAGAAATATTCTTACATTTTCAAGGCATCTCTCAATAACTAATTATTATGCCTCGTAAGCAGATCATTGTATACAACGGTTGTATGTAAGGATTATGTTATGTGAGGCCACCAAATGTTTGTTAATTTCCAGGTCTTTTCTGAGACTAATGTAATTAAGATCTGTCCCAGAAATAATTTCACAAAATTATAAAGATATTTTCATTTAACAATGGTCCAGCTGAGACATATAATACAATTAAAATACCAGACCCTAATTAATTAACTCTTATTTAATTTAATAATGATCATGATCTGATGTGCAGCATGAGAAGCACAAGGAAAAGAAAGACCCAGAGCAAGCCCACAGGCACAAGATAGAAGAGGAGATTGCTGCAGCAGCTGCAGTTGGGTCTGGTGGGTATGCCTTCCATGAGCATCATGAGAAGAAAGATGCCCACAGGCACAAGATAGAAGAGGAGATTGCTGCAGCAGCTGCAGTTGGGTCTGGTGGGTTTGCCTTCCATGAGCATCATGAGAAGAAAGAGACAAAGGAAGAAGAGAATGACTCTCATGGAAAAGAGAAAGACTCTCATGGAAAGAAGCACCACCATCTCTTCTAAATCTACAAATAAATACTATATTTTATAGTCATCCATTGTGTTTTTACTTATCTGCTATGAGTGATGTTTGATCTCAACAATGTTATAATTGTTGAGTGCTTATGTGTACTTGTTATATGAGTGCGCCATCTGGTTTCCCTTTAGCACGCTATGTATCTATCTATTTCTCATTATTAATAATAAATAATATCGTTTACTTGGTGTTAATTTCTATATTATATATTGTTCTTTATTTTTCTATGACAGAAAATAATTATTTTTTTTGTGCTACGTGTTAACTTCTTAATTTCCATCATGGGGTCATGGTTCATTTTGTCAATCCCATCTTTAGTATAAATTGACTTAACAAAGTATCTGGTCTACATTGGCTTTTCAATGGTGAGACCATCATATATATATATATATTCATAATAGTGCCATTTAATATAAATATAAACTAATTAATTAATTTTTATACAAGAGATATTGGGAGATTGGGGAACGTAGGATCTCGAATGCATAAAAATTAATTAACTTTTTCCCAATATCTCTGGTATAAAAATTAATTAATATGCTTGTGTGTTAAATGCATCTTTTTGTTGGGATGAATTTGTGCTTTTCTTTTTTGTTGTTAGAGCATCCACAATGGGCTCCTTAAACCACATCCTTAGACAAATTTTAGGGAGGAATTGGAAAAATACAACTCCAACTATGCTCTCTATTCACCTCCTAAAATAGGAAGACTTCTAGGAGCTCCTAAATCTGAGGAGAGAGAAAAGACTCCTAGTGGCTCCCTATAATTTAATGCTTCTTTATTTAATGAGTATTTCAAACCTTTAATTAATGCTAATTAATTTTTAAGAGTGCTGCTATTTCTACTTTCCTGTCCTATTTTCCCATCACCTATCATATAAATTTGAAAAAATACAATCCTATCTTTCCACCCATCATTATCCTTAAATTATTAATTCAAACAATTAAAAAATAAAAATCGAAAAGAAAAAGAACCATCAACCACCGCCCACCACCCCTCCCTCTTCCTCTTTGTTTCTCTTCCTCTTCTTCTCTCTCTCTCTCTCTCTTTAGAAAACAAGGAATATATATTGGGTTTAGTTGGACCTGCAATCCATATCCCACCAAGAAGTCTTATTTGCAAATCCCATCCGCTCATATAATTGAAGGATTCGTGGTGGGAGGCGTCGACCAAGGAAGGTAGTGCTGGGTTTGTGATGGCTGGTGGTTTCTGTATGATCTTTTATTTTTTTGATTTTTTTATTCTTTTAATTTTGAGGAAGATGAAGACGACCCATATGAAAAGAATGAAGGATTGAGATTAAGATTACGTTGTTGATGTTAATGAAGAAAAAGGCATAATTTGAAAATGAACAACAAATGTTAAATAAGATTGTTCTTTGTACATGAAAGAGAGATGGGGACAGGAATAGAAACAAAGAGGGAGGCGGCAGAGGCGGCCATGAAGGGGAATTGCCATCGGGGTTGGGGTGGGTGGGAGGGTTCTTTTTTTTTTTTTTTTTTCGTTTTTTAAATTTTATTCTAAAGGGGAATTGCCATAAGTTGATGAATGATGAGTTCATCGCATTGCTTCCTTGATGTTGCAGTTGTGTGGAGGTTTGCATATGCGATTGTTTTCTCCTATCTTGCAAGTTTCCTTTGCGTACCTTTTTTTTTTCTTTAAAAAAAAAAACTAATATATGTTTTCTTTTTCCTAAAGTCCTTAGAAGTAATTTAACAAAATAGTAAATTTGTCTTTAAAATTTTGAAAATAAGGTGGGTGGGAAAATAGGACAGGTGTGTGGAAATAGTAGGACTCTTTTTTAATATAGATGGGCCAATTAAAAAAAAGTTATAGCATTTATGACTTCCTAAACTAGAGAGCATGATTGGAGTTTAAATTTTGTAGAGAGCTTCTAAAATAACTTTTATATATTTTTAGCTAAAATTACCAAAAAATGACCCTCTTAAAAATAAAATAAAAACTAATCACTTTAGGCATCTATATTTTTGTAGATGATGCTAAAGGGGAATAAAGTCATCGTCATAAATAAACAAAAATGCGCGCTGATGCCTTTATACCTGTTTAGTATCGTTATTTCGAAATTGATGCCTAATCTGCTAATAGCATCGATTTCACTCTCTACCGATGCCTATCTAGTGTTGCTGTAAGTGAAATTTGACATAGTGATTGTGAATGCTCTTAATTGAGAAAGCAAAGAAAAAAGGCTTTCCTTGAGTTCTGAGTTTTTCTATTAATCTCTCTCTCTCTCTCTGTGTAGCCAGTGTCTCTTTGAGACTCTGGCCTGCCTCTGCAACTAGTTATATTAGGTGAATCATTTAAGAAAATGGCTGATATTTGTCTAGATATTGGAATTTTTATATTAGCCTTGGAAATGTATAAACTTAGCATGAATTTCTCTGTTGAGGCAAATTGACATAGGTAATAAGTTGGTTTGCAAGTCAGTCACAGTTACATAGCATAGTCACAGTTACTGGAATTTTTATATTAGCCTTGGAAATGTATAAACTTAGCATGAATTTCTCTGTTGAGGCAAATTGACATAGGTAATAAGTTCGTTTGCAAGTCAGTCACAGTTATATAGCATAGCATTGATATGATTGTGCTTATATCTTTATAGATGTTTTGGTTGTAGCAAGATGGAAGTGGAGATTGTCTATGTGACATCCAAGATGAAGAGATTGGACAAAGGTTATGCACAGTAAGAACATGGTCGAGCAGAATAAGAAATGGAGGCATTGAGAAATAATATAACCGCAAGTTTAATGAGTTCATCCACGGAGAAATTGTATATGTTTATGTGTTTATAATTAGTTTAATTTTTGTTATTGATTATATAATTGGCATTATATTAATTATGAATGGAATATGTTGGGTTAACTTTCAAATATTAACTTTCAATATGGTACTTTATTTATTTCATGATTGAAATAATTTTGAAGCAGTGATGGTTAAGAAACATAAAGAAAAAAATTGTATAAAGATCAAAAGTGAAAGTTCTTTTTATTTTACCGAATAGTTAAATAAATAAAAAACCATTTCAACGTCATGTCCTTTTTAGTCATTATACACATCACTCAACACTTTTACATAAAAATTTACCAAACACTCAGAAACTAAATTTGTACTAACATCACTTTTACTATATAGTTTACCAAACTCCAAATTACTTTCCTTCACAACTGATTTCTCATGTAGAAAATTTGAAAGATATTATTTTCACAGCACAACAATGCCAAACTGATCCTATTTCTCCTAACCACTCGAGCTAAAAGCCCCTTGCAAATATAAAATAATTAGTTTAAATTTGAGGCTTCATCTCAATTAATTGAATATGATATTGTTTTTTCTTTTGCTCTGCTATTAGAGTCCATATTCATATTATAATAAATACTTTATTTATAAATTTTTATATCGTATAGTATAAATCCATCTCCTAGTCTCTTTCATGTGTAACGGGTTCCGGGGCATTCAATTAGTCCACACATGGATTTTGCGTATAGAACCAAACAGTTACACTTCTTCGTGCCTTTTAAGCCAAAACGTACGGTAGGCATCAATTATCATATAGCCATTTTTTGTTTATGAAAAGTATTCCCTTCATCAAAATCAGGGAAAATGACTAAATAGCTCTCTTACAAACCTCTCCATTCAACAATGATGAAGGGAGTAGTTTTAACTAACAGAGTGAGCACACTTGGATTACATTACAAGTGAACAATGAGGGGTTGACTCTAATGACCTTTTTCCTCCGAATAATAATTTTGAGTGAATATGTAAGTGAAGTTTTAACATTCTTATCACAAATCGTCTTTGAGATTTACAAAAATCATCATATATACTGTCTAGTTTTCAATGACCAAACGGTCAAATGGTATTAATTTCCACACTGCTGATATTTTGGTTAAAATCTTGTCTGATATATGAAAGAGAAAGTTCAATACCTATTTGATAGGTGTTTTTATACAATCTTCATTCAGGTGAAGAACGGTAAATCAACTTTTATTTTTCTTTCTGATATCAACTGGGGAGGGGTGGGAAGAAACCTACTGTCATCCGTCGACAAGAAATAGAAATATATATATGTAGTTTTCAAGGTGTAATAAGTAAGTGAAAAGTCTTTGTTGAGGAAATGTCTTCCATAACGGCCGAGTGCGAGAGAGAGAGAGAGAGAGAGAGCACCAAACAATCCAGACCGTCCACCAAGGTTTGGATAACTAGCGATGCATGTGATGTGGCAAGAGCAAGACAGCTCCACTTCAGGAGAGAGAGAGATCCAAACGAATCCAGACCGTCCACCAAGGCATGGATAGGTAGCCATGCATGTGGCGAAAGCAAGAGAGCCCTACTTTAGGTGGATATTTTACCGTAATTTTTTTTTTTTAAAAAAAGTTTGGGTGGGATTATATGGCTAGAGAGAGAGAGCACCTGAAGGAACCTCCATAGCATTCGAAGTGTTAAACTATTGCAGCCTTCATTGTTGACCAATCCAAAGCAATTGGCAGAAAACAAAGTAAAAGCATACATTTCTATTTCTCCGTTTCTGTTCCACTTTAGCAGACCTGATATCATTTTTAAGTAAGTGCAATTGTCTGTGTTTATGTCTAGTGTGCTATTTGATGGAAGATGGGGCAATTGTTGAAGCCTTTGACACATGTTCACGCGAAATAACCTAAGCTTAGAAAGACATCTAATGCTTGCTGGAAGGCTAACAAAATTGTTTCCACTAAACTTTAATTCTACTAAAGAGGACAGGCAGCCAATATCACCCGGAATATCCCCTTCACAAAGACCACTCTTGTTATAGTATTTAGCTTTGTAGTGCGCAGGTAAGGGATTAAATACAATGCAAATTATATAAATGAAGAGATGATTGCTGATCTCAATCCTCAGCTGCTAATGTTAATATAGGAAGTGGTGGTGGCAATCAGGGAGGGCGTTGATGTTTTAATGAAGTTGGTTGGATTATTGTGATTAATTGTTAAAATTAAAACTAAATTAGCTGTTTATTGCT